TACTGGTCTCTATTGTTGTAGGATAATATCAAACTACAAGTTGAAAAGGGGGACCGTGACTTCGGTAAAGTTAACCTTATTTCTTTAATTTCTATAAGAAACACAAATGGGTGCCTGGCACCAGGGTGGTACGAACACAATAAACGTATGTAGGGGTGAGTTATTTTCACTCATAGGTAACATACACACGCTATACTCATAAACAAAATCGTTTTTTTTTATTTGAAAACTGGTAGCGTTGAAGAATAAAAAAATCTACATTTGTGGTCAGATATCGTCAATATTCATACAGTTATTCGATATGTATATTCAAGTATAGTCGTGCAGCCGTGTAGAATGTAGCTGATATATTACGCTTACTATATTGTATGCACGAGGCACGACTTACTTATGATTTATGAACTATAAAAGTATAAAACTATAGGGCCTGAAACTTGAAAACCTAAAAATGATTTTATAAAATGCACGAAAAAACTCTATAAAATGAAGAAAAATATCTAAAAATACGACACAGAATTAATAGTATAGGTATATTGGTATAATATAAAACATTAGGAAACATAATTAAATATAATAAATAAAACAAGACTGTCCTATCAGTCAAATATATAGGTACCCATAACTTCCAAATTTAAATGCTCCTAAACGCAAACTATTTAAAGATTTCATTTTAGAAATTTTAAAGTTGATGCGGCATGCGAGAATTTAAGATTTTAAAAGACACTGTTCACAACAATTAACTCAGTAGTCAGCACTCGAATTTCTTGTACATAACTATTAACTATTATACGACTGGTAATGATAATATGATTGATTAATGAAAAGGTATCTTACAATAAAATATAAATACAATCTATGTAACGGATTATTCTCGGGGTATGAAATTATGAAACATATAAAATAATATTAAGTACCTACCTATTATAAGCTACGTGTATATCATATAGGTACCAATACGATTTTATCAATTATCACTGCGAATGAATCTCATACAAATTCTTTAGATAAATTTAGTAGGTGTACGTACTTGTAGCCTGTAGGGCATGGTTACTCTTGTAAAGAACGTCTATGGACGTACAGACACTACAGTATTATATACTATAATAGTACAGTACTTATGTACTTATATGGCAATATGGCTATAATGATTGACCTATGTACTGTATATATTAATATATTATAGACTTACTATAGCTGCGAATAACCCGAGAAAAAATTGTGATAACTAACTCTTTTTGGATGTAATTCGCGGGGGGGGGGGGGCAAGGGTTTCAGGAATTGGTCAAGATAAATATTTTGCGAGGTTGTTAATGTATAGTTTAAAGACTTATAGTAACGGGTAGGTATAAGACTTCATAACTGTATGCCTGTATCTATAATTGTTTTAATTTGTAAGTATCCTGTGTGTAAGGTAAATAAGATTTGCGGCATAAAGTGGTGTAACGCTATTTGTGATTAGTCGGAAGATTTTTAAGGTTATTTTTATAATTTGTTTGAGTTTGAGCCCCGAATTTGTATGCGGCCAGTCGAGATGAGTTTAAGAAGTATTGTGTAAAGTTTTAATTTTGTAAGGAGTGTTAGTTTAGTATTTTAGTGGAAAAATTGTTTAAATTATACCTATTTAAGCACAAGTGGTTATTTATAATTTAATTGTTACCTAAACAGTTTATTTTTTGTAGTTTTTTTGTTAAAGTCTACTCAAAGATATTTTACTGGCTGTAACTTTTTATCTCTAAATGTATTCAAATTTAAAAAAGTGTAAGGAAATATATTTTTTTTAAATAATAAATTCACCATGTACCTGCCTATAGACATATTATAATTTTGGCCTCCACACGAGTTTAAACTCAGTGAGGCCTAGTAATCTTTACTTATATTAAATAAAATAATAATAAATAAATAAATAAATAATATAATATGGTCGTTTTTACCCAATATAATATACCTTCATAATTATACATATTAGGTTTAGAGGCTTTAAACGATATAATTTAAATAAAATTATAATCGACATTATTGTTTATAATATCATCCATGTACATCAGGGTGGGAATAGGTAAAAAGTTTCACGGCCGGTTGATTACGGAAACAAATAGACAGAAACCATTATTAACCCTTATAACCCCCTTTTCCAAAACAGTTTTACACAGGAAACACTAACACGTGGCAAGGGAAATTTATAGACAGGTGAAGTGAAACTAAAGGAGAAGTATTTTTCGCTAATATTAACTTGAGGGTGTGGGTCATGGGAAATTATAATTTATGATAATCTATTTAAATATTCATAGATATTATTTACTAAAATTTCACTCGTATCATCGTATTGAAATGCACTAATAATGTACCAATGTATATTATGATGATAACTAATAAGTAGGTAATAAGTATCTTATTATATAGCTATTAGCCAGCTCGGAGCATTATTTAGAATATATTGGCTCCTGGGCAAGCCTATAGGCTATAGTGCAGGCCCTACCATGGGTACAGGAATATATTCAATATACGTAGACATTTTTAATATAATATTATATATTAATTTATATATATATATATATATATAATATATTTAATATCTATAATTTATGTATAAAAATATAATAATATACCTATATAAAATATAATCATCGAGTAAATGGACTAGTGGCCAATTGGTATACTTTTAGCATGGAATTGCAATCTTTAAAACTCGATACAATAAAGAGCTGCTTACGACACCGAGAGAAGGCACATCGTGAACGATGCAGTAGCTCTATAAAATAGTACTTTATGTGTAAATTGGGTGTTAAATTGGGAATTGGTGAGAAGTGTGCATGCAAGCTTTTTTTTTCCGAAACCCAAATGTTTTAATGTATTATAAAATAAATAAAATAAAATAAATGTGTTTTTTGTTGAGGGATTTTTTGTGCTTTTATACGGCCCTGATTCAGCTACAATTGATTAGACGTGATAACAAAATTAAAATTGTATTCTACATTTATTCTTCTTTGTGTCAAAATGGATTAGATACAAAATCATATTATTATCATCTATTTTATTTACCACCAAGGCACAAAACTAATTTTCTGGACTTTAATCTTAATACATTTAAATAAACGACTGTCATTTAGTTTAAAAATTACAGGTTATAACTTATAAAAGCCTTAAGTTTACATAAAATAAAAAAAAATTTGTTTATTAATTTATCAAAATTTACAAAAATAATATATTATTTTGATTATTTTTACGCGGCTTTCACCTAGACCCACTGCATTTAACACCTATAAATTACCAGCCAATATTTTATTTTATAAATGAAAATGTTACTCGCGGGTGCTATACTTTGTAGTTTGTACCTCATTTTTGCTTTAAGTATTATAACTTTACAGGCATACAGCCCTAAATGCACTTGTCTAGCGTATACATATTACGCACGTCGTACGTATATATATTTTGTTCTCATAATGTCACGCGATACATAAACAGCGATTCCACCGCCACTGAACCGTAAAATTGGTGTTAGCACGCTCGAGGGACGTTATTCTAAATATACGGGTGTGGGAGTTTTAGCTGTTGTGGTTGTCAATTGATGACTATACGCAATGTAAGTAAAATATTTACATAGCAAACACACGGGACCATATTGAACACAAATATTGTGGTGAAGACATGTTAACATAAATGAAAAAGGTTTAACTTTGAACCACTGCAGAATTTATGTGCAAATCACATAATGATTTAATAATATAGGTACCTCCTAACCTAGGTAATTATTGCATATTTTATAATTTATTGCTATAATTATTACACCAGATGTCATCAGACTGGGTTTATGTATTCTTTAGGTATTACACTGAAATGATGTTAAGTAATACAATTTAAAATATTTGTTTAAAGAATTTTTTTTCTAATAATATATTATTTTAAAAATGTAAAACCAAAAGAGAAACAAAATTAATAGTAGTTTAGGTGGATATAGTTGTATAGAGTAGTAACTGCTATCTTATATTATATGATATGGCTATATAATTATTAATTAATTTTTTAATTTATAAAAGGGTAGGTACCATTTACTAATAGGTAATAGTACAGTAAGTAGGATCTCAATTTGACAAATATAACACTCAATAACAGTGAAATTAAATAATAAAATGTCTTAAATGAGTTAATAATTGTAAAATTAATCGTATTCCTGTTTGTGAATCCTAACATCTTAAATGTTTTTTTAACTAAAGTATTACTATATAATATACCTACTACAATTATACATTTTATAATCATAAGTAATAACATTATCTATACGAGAAAAAGTAACAACTCTACAATTATTCATATTTAGTGGGAGGTAATTTTGACAACTCCAAGTAACAAAATATTTGTCTAGAATTTATTGTGAAATTTTATTAAAGTATCAGTTGTATACTTTTAATAGTCGAACATATTTAATATTTATTTATTATAATATAATTTTGATGTCTGATCGGAAACAGTATAACAACTCGTATACGAAATTGATCTATTCATGAAAAGTTGTCCATTTCATGAAGTGGAAACAGTAAATAATATACTGTGTGTCCACAAAAACACTTACACATTAACATAATATATAAATATTTAAGTAAGTAATTTTAAATATAAAACAATTAAAATACTTATTTAAATTATCGAACAATTTTAAGCTCAGCAGATCACGTAATAGTTTAAAAATTAGAGTGAATTGACCTATTAAAAAATTTAAAGGTAAGATTATTATCAAGTCAATAGAATAGGCCTTTTATTATATTTAATTTTAAAGCGAGTTATGAGTATTTTAAGATGTACAATTATAATATATAAATATTTGCTCTGGGGATTTTATTTCCGGGGATTTTTTTCCTGATAATTTTTTTTCTAAGATTTTTTATCCGTTGATTTTTTTTCCGATTACCAATTATGTGATGCACAACAATATCGGTTTTTTAAAAGGTCCTCAAATCAAAAGATATTTTGTATTTCAATTTAATTAATTAAGTTTATTTGGCATATATAAATCATCATGACATGATGGCATTGTGGTTAGGACTTACAATATTTAATTTAGGATTTATCTTATCGATAAGTAGAAGAAAGTTCAAAGTTATAAATACAATAATTTATACTTACGATATCCATTGATAAATTTCTGCCACTGGTAGTTCTTTTTTTTCTATCAAGGCTTGATGAATCATTTCTGTATAGGTATATCCAGGTTTATTAGCTTTATCTAACCTTGAAGGTGGCATTCTATATGGTTTTCGACTGGTTTTGGATGGAGCTAAAACAATATAATTAAATAAATGTTTTATATTTATACCTAATTTTCAAATAATATTATTTTAATGAACTACTAAGATAGTTTGTTGTTTGGAGTAAGAACAAATAAGTACAAACTCGGGGTGAGTTAAAATTAATTTTTGACGAATTTTTTCTGAAAATAATTAATTAACGAAAATGTTGTCATTATTTAACAATTTTCTGGGGGAGGGGGTTACAAGTTACAACCCTCTAACCAGTCTCCTGGATACGCCACTGTAAGTACTTACATAATCCGATATTTTGTTCCTAACTGCTCAACTAAATAGCATTTATTCGAGAAAACATTCATTGATTATATAATAAATAGAGTATAATATTATTATAGATTTCTGCTCAATAAATAGAGTAGGTATATTATATATTTCTGCTCATTAAATAATAATGATAATTATCAATATTATTGTTTGAGTATACCAATGACTATCATAGTATCATTATTAATTATCTTATTTAAAACGCAGTTACACAACATTTTATTATTTGTTTAACAGATTATTAGATACCTACTTAATTACAATATTTTTTTTAAAATTACATTGACAACAATTTGTTATTTAAGATGATAAATACACACTGTTGTTGTTTATATTGTGATCTAAATGTGAACAATGTATTATTTAATATAAATGTATAACTTAAGATAGGTAGATATTAATTATAATTCATATTATCATATAGATATCTATTGATATCCAACAAAATAAATCTACTATCCAGCACACAGGTACCGCCCTACCACACTACTAGTAGTCCCCAATAATAATTAGCCTCGTAATCAGCTATATTAGTATGTACCAATACCTACGACCTACCTATAAGAGTATGACACCGGTATGATAATAAGGTAGGTACCTATTTAATGGCTAATACCGTATACCATAATGCTGAAGCTACAATATAAAATAAGGTAACCTATCATATTATATTTTATTGTCTTATTATAGAAAATAATTTTTAAGGTGTAAACACACACGAACATGAAATATATTATCATTGAATTCACAATTAATACCGGAAAACAGTAATATAATATAATATAATATTTATTTGAATAATCTAATAGGTATCAATGAACTTCATTTTTTGGTTATTACGATTAAACTTTTATTTAAAAATGTATAAGCAACCAAAAAAACTAATCCTTATGAATAATAATATGGATGACTGTATAAATTACGAGTTTAGGTTCATTGTGTGGACAATTGGTTGAGGTCTTTTTTAAAAGTTCGGCGCTACTGAGTTATAGTATATTAATATTATGATATTCTACATAAAGCTATTAAGGCGGTGTGGAATGTGCATTGATATCATGCCTTAGAATTTATGAAATACGATGATATAAAACTGACTTGAGCGTAGGTAACAGTAAAGCTGGTGCGATTTTAGGACACCTATAAAGACTCGAAATTACCTCCCCTAAAGTCTTAAACTACTACCTTGCTTAGTTTTTTTTAAATAAATTTTATTTTTTATTTTCAATCAAATGTTATGTAGAAAATAATAAAAAAAATATACTCACGTTTTTGATCTAATTTGGTGGCTTTCTTTTTCTGTTTCAGCGTCTCTGGCTCCAGCCATTCGTTGTTCAAGATATTAACTCCTGGACCAGCACCACCGCCACCGGTTGTACTACCGTTGCAGGTTGGTTCGAATATGGATGCCACTTGAAAGTTTACCAGCCAACTCAAGTCACCGGGCTTGTTGCCGTTCTGGTGTTGTGGTTCGGTCGCCGATGGGGTCTTGGCAGGTGGCTGCAGCGATGATTGTGCTGGCGGAGGCAAGTGCTGTAACGGGCGCCTTTGCTGCATATTACCCGTGCCGGACGTCGCCTGCACGTGGTGATGCGGCGGCGGCGGCTGCTGCTGCTGCTGATTATTACGTTCCACCGGCCGTAACCACATGGACATCTGCGGATGAACCTGCGGCGGCGGCGGCGAATGCATCTCTTCGAACACCAGCGGCGTGAACACGTCCGAGGGCTCGTAGCGGGCCTGCACCGCGGCGGCCGCGGTCGGCGGTGGCACCCAGGCGGTGGATTGCCAACAGTCGGCGGCGATAGAGTCTTCGCAGATTCCTCCGCCGCCGCCGTCCAGTAGATTATTCTCGCGTTCCAGCTTGTACACGTGCGGCGGTCTGGCGCACGACAGGTACTTCTTGGACAACACCAACGAAGACAGTCCGTCCGACAGCGGGCTGGGCTGAGTGACCGCGGTTGACGAAGACGACGACGACATTGGTCGATCGTTGTGTAGCGCTAGACGGCGGTCGGTGCGGAAATGCCGTGCGCACGGGTAGCTCCGCGCATATACGAGTATATTAATATTATACTCCGCGGCTGATGATGATGATGATAATAATAAAACAATGAATCGTATAATTTGTCCATGTGAAATTGTTGTATACGACCCTTTTTGAGGGTGGGGCCCTCATCGGTGGACGGCCGCAGGGAACATGTAGTTTTTCACGTCGACCAACCGAAGAGTCCGTGGCGCCGGGGCGGAGTTTATATATACGCATAAACCTACGCAGACGTATTGTGGTTGCAGTCGTGCTTAGTATATGTACTCCATGTCTTCATGTATGCATTAAAAATTATTTATTATTATTAGTTGTATCTAACTTTCTAACTTGATACGTAGGTATATAAGGTATGTTATCAGTGATATTATTATATTATTAAAATAGTTATAACATGAGGTACAATATTAATAGTAAATGTAAATATTATAAAATGTAATGAAGGCAAATATATAGGTATTTCTTATTGTAACTTTTATAAATTATTTTAATAAAAAAAAACATTTTTTTAGCATATTTTACATGTTTAAGGAATATCAAAAGAATATTTTAAGGTTTTTTTAGTGCATATAGCTGGTATATATAAGCATCATATTTTAAACTTTTAAGAACCTGAAAATCCGCTCTCTATAGTTATCATTACTGCTTATAACTGCATATAGTGCTAGACCTTAGCTAAGTTATAACAATATAACGTATAAGGCTATGGTTATTACTGCCACGTCAACGCGCTGTAATTATTTTTACTTATAATAAAAGGAATAACGGAGTAACGGACCTATATAATGACTATACATCTGTACATATCTATTTAGGAATGGCAATATATAGAGACTAGGGAGATAGGATTTGGGGCTGTAAACAAAAAGTATATAAGTGTCACATGAGTTTATAACAGCTGTTAAAACTCTATAGAGTTGATATAGATATTGGAAAGTCGTAGTTTAAAAAAGTGAAAAACCTAATTGCTTGGGGTGTATAGGACACTAGGACTAGGTAATAGATGTAAGTTCTACACTCATTACTCATTACTCATTAGTTGTTTGATACATAAAAATCGAATTTCAAATGAGAGTACCAGCTAGTTAATTATTTATAATTGCTAAAACTTATAATTTGACATTTGTAGGTATACCTACTTTTTGAAAATTAAGTTTATGTAAGCAGATTAGTGAACCAACATTTTTCTGGGCATCTATTGATCTATATATCTAAGTATTTGTGCCATATTGCTACTGTATTGAGGTATTCGCTATAATATACCTAATCTATACGCATCAACATTTGGTTTTTATTTACCTATCAAAATACTCTGAAAATATTCCACTTCGGAATATGAAATAAAATCTTAAAAAATTTTTTTTTTCAATGAAATTAGATCATTTAATATAAATTGTACCTATATAATATATTTTTTGAAAATAAAAACATTGAAATGCCTATTCAATCTATATTCTATACAATTAAATAATTAATCAATATAGTTCATAATAATCTACAATCTACAATCACATTTAGATTATCATTTATTGTATACCTATATACTATAAGTAGTTGATGAAATGTATTGTAATTATGGTATAGGTTTTACTGTCGTAGGTAAATAGTGCTGATCTAACATCGTACAACTCGGCAGCACTCAAATCTGATCATATATGAATTATATAATTATTAATATACCATTATATAATTGTAATTTGTAACTAAAGCCTTTTTTTTTTTCCGAGTCAATAGAGGGACGGAGGAGTAATCGCGTTAGCATTACTTCTCCTCCGGCCCCAATCGTTTATTGACATAAAAGAAAAAAACATCAACAACAACAACAACAACAAAAAACATCAACGGCATCGTGCCTAAATTGCGGCTCCTAGCCGATCCTTTATCCTGGTCCTTTCTAGACCGATAAGATCTGCCAGCGGCATTTCGGCCAGGATCAAAGGGGCCTCGTCAGAAACGGTCCTGTATGCTCGAATCACTCTAAGCGAGGCTGACCTCTGTGGGTGGATCAGGTTTTCCTTAGTTCTGGCGATGTCAGCCACTTTGGTGGCCCAGACTGGGTCCAAGTACAACAACTGGCTCTCGACCACCAGGGTCAGGAACCTGCGCACCACTTACATTTGGCATTAGCCTTGCCAAGGCTGCTGCCGAACGGGAGGCTTTTTTGGCGGCCGTGTCGATAAGCCACGTGAATGTTCAGCGCCAGTCCAGAATAACCCCGAGGTACCTCAGATTTTTTCCTATCGTTATTTGGGGTACGCCGACCGCCAGGCGAGGCGGGAAGAACGGGAGTCTGTTGGTGAGGAGAACTGCCTCGCTCTTATGATGGGCCCTTCTGCGTCATCCATGTGTCGATAGCTTCCAGGGTGGGATTGAGTGCCTCCTCAAGCAGCTGGCCGGTCCTGGCCACACCCACTATGGCCAAGTCGTCTGCAAAGTCCACAAGGTGGATCCCTGGTGGGACTTGCATCTCCAATAGAGAGTCATAAGACACGTTCCATAGGGCGGGACCGAGGACCGACCCCTGCGGGACACCACATGCCATGGGTCTGGAGGTCATCACTTCCCCTGTCAGCAGTTTTCTATCTGAAAGCCATGACCCCAGCATTTCGACTAGGTACTCTGGGGTGTTCTTCGACCTCAATGCCTCGTCGATAACGGGCCACCTCAGGGTATTAAATGCATTTTTTACATCCAGCGTCACTAGGATGCACAGTTTTGTCCGCATCCGGTGTCAGTCTGGGCGGCTAGCCCGAGGACCTTTGCGATTGCAGACTCTGTGCTAACGCCCTTCCTGAAGCCTTACTGGTTTGGGGTTCTCCTCCGTCCTCCATGGGCGTTGAGGTGGTCCAAGAGCCTTTGGAGGAGGAGCCGCTCCATTAGCTTGCTTGGGGTGTCCAACATGCAGATTGGTCTGTAGCTGGACGGTGCTTCCATGGGCTTGTCCGGACCTTTGCGCAGCAGGACGAGGTGAGCTCTTCTCCAGCATTCCGGAAAAGTGAGTGCGCGAAGACAGTTGTCGTAGAGCCTGAGTACCCCGTGGGGGCGAGTGGACAGAATCCCGGATAAAAAAACCAAGGAAAAAAAAACCACAGAAAAAAAAACCACAGAAAAAAAACCAAAGTGATAATATAATCAGAGAATTAGAATTACCACAAAATATAATATACAATCTATATGCTGTGTGCCTGTGTTATCAATATTATAAAAATTATGTGTTGATTATTAAATAAACATTCAAATATTATACAATTAATTATAATTATATTTTTATTGAGAAAAATGTATACAAATGAGCATAAGTAAATGATTGATAGAAATGATAGAATATAAGTTACGATCACTATGTATATAAAAATATTAGTTTAATTTGCTATTACATACATTTTAGTTTGAGAAATTTCCTGTACATATACTAAATTGGTTTCAAAAATCAAAATAACTCAACAATATAATCAGACAAGTTTGACGAGTTAATCAGTCAATCTGTCAAGATTTATAGTTGAAATAGGGGGAACATGAAGATCATATAAAAATACACTATTGATCATTGTGCTGACTGTGACTTTACTAGTTTACTGTATTGTGTTCTTGTCTTGCAAATTGTTTTTTTTTTTAAAGTTCTAGATTTAATAGTGTAAAATATGGAAATTATTGAAATTATTAAATCAAATAAGGGGTGCAGATAAGATTTGTCACAAAGGTCAAATGTTTACTTTAAAATATGCCGGAATACAATATTATAGGTACATGGAGTCATGGAGATGTACAAAAAAAAGTTCACTTCATTGTCCGGCTATTCTGAGAACTACAACTAAGATAACTCAACCTTTTGTTTCAAAAAATTTTGATTATATTATCACTTTGGTTTTTTTTCCGTTGGTTCTTTTTTATTTTGGTTTTTTTTCCGTGGTTTTCTTTTCGTTGGTTTTTTTTCGTATACCGAGTGGACAGGAGAGATCTGAGAACCTCATTCGGAATACTCGATGGTCCGGCCGCCTTGCCCGTCGGGAGTCTTTTTCCTGCCTTTTGAGCTCGTCCAAAGTGAAGTCCGGGATGACCCACGTGAACACTAGAGCGTTCAGGATAGGGTCGAATGCCTCAAAGATGTTGTTGACCACTGGAGGAGGAGTGGCGGCCCAGTCGGTGACGGGAAGCCTTTATGTAGGTACTATATAAGTACTATTAGTACTAAGTAGGGATTTATAACTAATAACTATACTTTATTCTAAATTAGTGATTTTGATGAATTTCGTAAAAATATACACCTTCAAAATATGTAAATGCTATACTGCAATGTATAAAAAGCGTATAGTATAGTAAGTTGTTAAGTTTAGCATAGGTACTTATGTCATTGTAATTTATAATAGATCATAGATGTGTTAGGTTTGAATTCAATGATAAATCATTCCATACGAAAAACGATATTGACAGGAGACGGTGTGTCATCCTAGTAGTAGTACCTTTAACATGTATAAAAACAAATCTAATTTGATAATTTAAAAAAAATTAATAACATTTTAAAATATCTCATGGCAATAAATAGCGTTACACTCCGGTAAACTTTTATTTTAACAAAGGCAGATAAACTTGTGTGGAAACTTCTATAAAAATTTCAAAGGTTGGTTATATCAAAAGAAAAACTTTTATGAATTTCTAACTAAAAATAGTTTGCAAATTTGCAATGACCGTGCTATATGTATCTTTAATATTTTTGAACTGCTATCAATAAAACTAACAAGACATTTTATAAGACAGTGAATTTAAATAAGGTAAGATTATTAGGTATCTAGAGCCAGGGCCGGATTGGACAAATTCGGAGCATCGAGTTTTCCGTACTTTACCAGCCCACTTACAAACTGGCGGCCTTTTGGATACCTACTTTCTTATTCCGTGCATAGTTTTATTATTTTATAGTCTCCATTTCTTCAACTTTTAA